ATTATATAATGACATATATTCTAAGCAAAGTAAAATTATGCCGTGAGTTATAATTACGGCTTATATTTACTATATCATGTGATTACAAAAAAATAGATTAGCACCATTATCACGACAGATTTAGATTTCTTATCGAATTAATCATCAATTTCTTATAATCTATGTGGTCTATGAATCGAAAGATAAAATTAATTCTTATAAATCATGTGTGTATCAGGTTTGTTCTTACCGTTATTTGAATCCAAACTATTCAATCTTTTATAGTCTTCTGATCATCTCTTTCATCGATTTGAGTATTGGTACTTTATTTATGCTTTTTATGCCCAATGTTCGATTTAATACATTAGAACGTGTCACAATACGTGATAAAAATGAATATAATTTATATATTATTATTCGCAAAAATCTTTCCGGCAGTTCAGGTCTCAGCAAAACTGAATCTCCGGATCGTGCTTAGGTACGCTAGAAAAGAGCGTAGAAAAAAGCGGAGGCTAGTACTGCAGGCATAATTTTATCCTCTGTGACGTCACCAGACCGAATCCTGATTCTCTTATCGACGAACTGCTTAAAGTATTTCTCCGGCTTTAATCGCGTAAAATTTACAAATTTGCCTCTTCGCGCGTCTTCTCTGAAGAGAGAAACTTTTGAAACGAGCATACACATACCCATAAATGTGTCGTACCTGGGTGCACGAACGCTACACGGACTTCAGTCCTCACTGAAGACAATTAAAATGTGACAACAGCGTGTCTCTTGCCGTTCGGCGTTCGAAAAGGAAAATTTTATTAAATTATAAATTTAAACTACTCTCTCTCTCTCTCTCTCTCTCTCTCTCTCTCTCTCTCTCCCTCTCTTTTCTCTCCTCCTTTCTCTCTCTCATTCAGAAACGGCACCGCTAGTCATCCCTACTTTTTTTTCTAAGATTTTTTAAGATTTTTTCTAAGATATTCTTATAATATTTCTACATTATATTTATTTAAAAAAAAAGTCTGTAGATTTTCGCCACAAGTATTAAAACGTTACTTTGGCTAGTTTTTAAATAATATTTTACGCTGGAACGTAAGAAAAATTGAAAAAAAATTTGGAATTTTTAGTAAGTAAATAAATATTTTCATTTTACAGCATTTAGTCTTCAACTCTTTATTGTGAGAGACTGCACATCTGCGCTTGGTAATCACGAGATAAAAAGCCAGATACTTACCGGTGTTTTCAAGCAAGTGGTAATGGAAGAGAACAACAGGTAACATAACAGTAAGATCAAAGATGCAAATTCAATGCGTATATTAAAAATATGGTACTGACATATCAATCCCAGTAGTTGGGTCTTCCTCAGTGTATAAAATATAATGATGTTTTTTATTGAAGTTTTTTTTGTATTTTTTTTATTAATCCATCAATATTTTCAAAAAATATATATGCATTGGTTTACACACGAAGATCTGGTGTTGGCTCACAATGCCATTTCCATCTACATTTATATATTTATTCTGTAATTTATTTAGAGAGTTTAATATAGATTTCGAGCAATATTTATGAATCCCGCCCCTATACCAAAACAGTGCAGAGGCTCTGGTTCTTTTTAAATTTTTGAATTATGAAAACTATTCTTTCCCTTCGTTCCAGATTCTGATATCAAAAGCATTTTTATTAATATAAGGATAATGTAATCAGTTATTACAGGAAGATAATCAATTATTAGAGAAATATCATCGATACCGACGTACCTTGTTTTTAGATAACCTTGTTTTTAGACAATATTTCTTGAACAAAAAGGTAAAAATAAAAATTCAAAAACAAGTACAAACTAAAAAATGTCTTCCATCAGACAGTATAAGCAATTTTTTTATACTGTTTGCAATTTTTGCAATGATTAATTTTTTCATAAAGTAAGCAAAAATTAGCGTTTGGCAAAATGGGCTTTAAAAAAGACACAGTACTGAGACAGTAATACTACGTATTCCTAGTCTTTTTTTTCTTTTACAAGAATAATTTGAATAAAGTACCTACAAGTGAATGTATATAAGAAGTTCCAGAATCTTTTCACTTCATTGTAAAACATTTTCATTAAATTATGAATATTTACTTCCCTACTAAAAAAAATCACAACGTGAAATCATGTATCATGCTTCATTCGCTCGGCAGACATTAATGTTGTGATATTTTACGATATAGCATAATGATAAATGCCATTATTATCTATATTATTATGATCGAAAGGTGTATTGTAAAAAATACGTTATCTTTATTTTGGAAGGCAGCGTCATTCAAGTCTGCGAGTTGCGTGCGAGGTCGCCTTTCTTTTGATTCGCAATTGTTGACATTTCGCGTCTACTTAATCTTTACTTTGTGAAACGAATACGAAACTTCCATGTGCTGATAATAACATTCTGAAAACTACTCTTGTATCATTTATTGACGAATCCACAATGATATGTGAATTAGTAAAGAACAATGCTCGCATTATTTGTTTCAGGCTCATAGCAAAGATTTTATTAATATTAAAATATTAATACAATTGTATGGTATATTTTTAATATAACATAATCGATAAAAATTTTTTGACTGTGGAGTTACTCAATACCATACAGCACCGAAAGTTTTCAGAAATAGCTCAGAATATTTTAACTGAAAAGTGAAACATTTGATAAAAATTGTGAAATATATGTCTGCAACACTTCTGATACAGTTCTGGAATAGAAAAATGTCCACAATACTTGCATATGAAACTTTGTTGAAAGATTGATGAAATGTTACAAGAAAAATCTGCAATCTCTCTTTTTGAAATATTACGGAAAAGATTTTAGCTATTTCTAGTACTACAAATATGATATTTAAATATACTTGATTGATACATAAATTATTTTTTAATTCCATTATTCATTACAATCTGTCACAACTAGAAACATTCAGTAATTTTTATGTAAAATTTGAAATAAAGACCCTGAAGGGTAAGAGTTCTTAGTAACTCTCCCATTAAGTGTACGGGAGTTACTCTAAGTCTTGTGGGATTGTGCGCTTAAGCCTTCGTAATCCGGATTATTAATTAGAGTTGCTAGATGATTAAGATGATCCTGTAGTCTAACTTTATGTTATGCAGCTGAATTTTTAATTTTTTCCTCGACAGTAAGTATACCAAAATCCGTGTGGAAGATTTCATTAGAAACAAGCCAGGGTGCATCTGTTATAGCTTGGAGGATTTTGTCTCATTCCCCGCCGGACTCTCTTGCGATCTAATCTCATTCTGCATTAACAGTACCTCTGCCGGAAGCATCCTGTAACGTTTTTAAAATTGATGATCAAATAAAATTTTTTAAAAAATGTGAAATAATTTATACGAATTATGCACATTATAACAAACTTTTTTTTTCTTTTGTTTTTTTCTATATATTGTTCAATTCCGAAATTGAAAAAACTTTTTAAAAAAAATAAGTTTTTACATAATATTGACAATTTCACATAATAAAAAATACGATATCTTTACAAAAAATTATCGTATAAATTTTTTTCAAAAGGCATTTTAAAGCTTAGGAAGCCTACTTTTATATTAAATTTTGTTTGCTGATGTTTTATCGAACTTAGTGCTTTAAAGTAAAATAAAATATTGCAATAATATCATTTTTAAAGTTTATATAACTTAGGAACAAAATATCGTAGACAAAAAATTCAAACGCAGGCTTTGAAACCCTATCTTTACGCTTTAAAGTGCGTGGTCAAAAACTACTTTGAAATTTCTTTTCTTCGAGACATTTAACTTTTCATAAAATGTGAAAAAATTGTTAGTGCCTAATACTTTTGCACATGGCTCTATATCTCTAAAATTGAAATCAATTCTACGCAATAGTTAACTTTAAAAATATAATTCAATTTATTAAAATTTATGCTTATTTTAGATTTATGCAAATTTATGCTTATTTTAGATCTTGTTCCTTTTAAATAGTTCGCAAATTGAACCTAGTTTAGCTCCATCGCAATCGAATGTGATTTCACACAAATGTGAGAGCCAAACATCTAAAATTCGATTTTATTTTATTGAATTTTATTTACAATTATTACAATATTACCGTATTTCTATCGCAATCATGTATGCAAAATTATAATCTCATGTTCCTTCTTCTGTTATAAGATTGGCTGAACATTTGCATATACAAGGTGCGTCCCAAAATTTTCCCAACTTTTGAAATAAAACAACAATGGTTTACTTTTTTTTTCAAATTCAAATTGTTTATTCAAAGTAGTCCCCGTCGGACTCAATACAACGTTTGGCACGATCTAAAAGCATTTCAAATGAGTGTTTTATGTCGTTCAAAGGCACGTCCTTCAGAATAGTGGTACAAGCCCTTTGGATGTCTTCTACGTCCACATACCGCTTTCCTTTCATGGACAAATGCATTTTCCCGAATAGGTAGAAGTCACAAGGTGCCATATCAGGCGAATACGGGGAATGGTTGATTGTTAAAATGTGATTTTTAGTCAAAAAATCAGTGACAAGTGTCGAACGGTGAGATGGCGCATTATCGTGTAACAAGCGCCAACTTCCTCCTTCGCGATATTCTGGCCGAATACGACGAATGCGGTGCACCAAACGCTTACATAGAATACAGCATTAACTGTTTGGCCTGCTGGAACGAATTCTTTGTGCACAATACCCTTGGAATCATAAAAACAAATGAGCATTGTCTTCACTTTTGACTTCTCTAAACGCGATTTTTTGGGTTTTGGGTCGTTTCGCGCCTTCCATTCCGCGCTTTGACGCTTGGTTTCTGGATCGTATTGAAAACACCACGTCTCGTCACCAGTAACAATGCTATAAAGGAAGTTTTGGTCCTTTTTTGCTTCCTTAATAATGTCCTTTGAATGTTGAATTCGATGCATTTTTTGGTCGTCAGTCAACTTGTGTGGAGTAACTCTGCCATTAAAGACAATGCATATGCACAGAAATAACTAATCACCAAGTATCCTATGATCATAGCGCTCTAAAAATTGTAACAATAAGTATATTTAATTTGTCGAGGTTGGAGTTTTGATTGTTCGTGTACTTACTATGGATAGCAATTCAAAATGAGCAGATGTTTCACTATGCGAACGAATCGAATGTATGATAAAAGGATTTAAAAGATAAGCGCAGTATGTAAGTCTGCTAAGAGGAATCCAGATTTTGCATGATAAGAGCTTCTTAACAATGTCTGTAATAAAGCGTTTGATAAGAATAAATTTTTTTTTCTAAATTATAACATTGTTATGATTTTTATATATAGATATAATTGTCTATTAGAAAAATGCTTATTAAGTCTTGTATCTATTGACGCTAAAAGTTACTCAGAGATCTCGGAATTTAAATTGTCATCTAATAAATTAGTTATATCAAACGTAATGTGTCATTGCTTCGCATTTAAGATAACTAATTTATCAGACGATAATTTAAAAAGAATGTACCACTAAGGAAAATTATGAACCTACTGCAATTATGTGGACAGAGAAACTTGTAGACTGTACATAGAGGTTACAGCAAAAATCGACATCGATTTACTGAGGCAAGTTCATACGACAATGGATTTTTGTTAAACGTTATTCCAAATGATTGTAGTGGAAAATAAGTTCTATTATCATTTACAATTTATGCTACATACGTAACGTTAATTTTTATTTTTAATTTACAATCTCGTACAATATTTTCTTAATTCTTTCATCGAAAGGTAATATGAATTTACAAACTCTTTTAATATTAATAACATCATAAACATTTTATACTTAAATTATTTAATATATGTAACCTTTCCTTTCTGGCAATCTTTATTTTTAAAAGTTCTTAAGTCAGAATATTTTGATTATTTTTTATCTATTTAATACTATTATTAAATCAACTAACCTCCATGCTCAGTAAAACACATTATTACAATCCATGCTATGCCTATGGCCCAAACTGTTCTATTTAATGCAACATAGATAGCAGCAGACAGAACGGATATTTGTTTTTTGTAAAGGCCAAATAACACCAAAATATTGCAAGCAGCACCAAGAGTCCAACATAAAATTACAATATTCTGAAATTTATATATTTTGTTTAAAATATTGTATATTAAAACAAGTCAACCGATACAGATCTCAACAATTTTCAGCGATTTCAGCGATTTTTTTCCAAGATATTGAGATTAATTTAGATGTGGATTAAATAATTCTTTTATACATTTTTATATAATATTTTTATATATTTCTACATTATATACTTCCTGTTTTCAGCTATATTGAATTGTAACGTGAGAAAAGTCGATGTCTTAACTTATAAATGATTCAGTATACATATATAGGGTAGGGAAGAGTATGGAAACCCTAAAGAACCTTGAAAGATATCAATTGTACAGAAAAATAGTTCGGGTAAAAGTTCTAAAGTTTCGAAAGATCTATTTATTGGTCTTATTAGTTTGTTCTTTGAAGGTTGCTCCTCCCTTTTCATTTTTAGTGTAAAAATTAATATGAAAGGAACAATCTTCGAAAGACCTGATCTTGACAAATGTTATCATGCTGAACAACATTTAGAAGATTTTAACCATCAGTTAGTTACCCATTACTTAGATAATGTTAATGATGGCGATATTGTAATTTTCAAGCTTTATAATAAAAAAAGTACTTAATAAAAAAATTTTATTACACTCTGTATATACATATATGTATGTATAACAGATATAATTTAAAAATTAGCTACTTTTAAAATTTTTGTAAAAATTATTCTAATATTAGTCCATGTATAATTATGGATACTTCCGTGTTCTGCATAATTAGAAATAATTATTTCTAATTATCTTCTGAATTTTATTAATCGGTAACTTACATACTCAGTAACTCTAACAATTGGTTACATTAAATTTTCTTATTTAAAATAGGTTTTAGGTATACTTTACCCTTTTCAAAGCTATTTTTTTGTTAAATCTTCTTGTAACGTAACCTGTAATCATTCCAATAATATATGGACCAATTCGAATCCATGGTGGGTAGTATAAGACATCTAGAAGTCTGTACAGTTCGTCCAAACTGTAATAATAAAAAAAGTATTTATTTACTAAATTAGTTTCACAATTAATAAGATGCTCTGTAACTTACGTCGGAACATATTCATAAATGTATGAGATGTAACCGCTTAAGATAACTGAGGCTATCAAAATTGTACTTAGTATGACAACAGCCACGTAAAAATATCTGAAATTTATAGTTTTTATTTATTCAGATGCACGTGTTAAAAATATGTAACTTTCCACGATCAGTCAACGATTGTTTAACTTACACAGTTGACAGAATTAAAAGTGCTAGACCGATTATATAGAATTGCATATCGTTGGATAGATACCAACTCCAGGACAAGCACTACAAGGAAATTCCATATAACTTTGAATAGAAAATTTCTCTTACATGAGTGTGTGATACCAAAATGATATTATAATTAAAGCTGTATTCCAAAATTTACTGTCAGTACTAAAAATCTATAATTTACGTAACATGCACTATAGATTTTCAGTCATGGCAATAAATTTTGGAACATAGCCTAAATTGGCGTTTGTACCATCGTTTTATAACCAAACAGATTATGTATGTACAAGACATTTCTCCACCAGTATTTTGCGCAAGTTTCGTGTGGTCTCTCCTCAACGTAGAATTGCGAATTCTTGTCGTACCAAGCTGAGCTCAATTGCGCTAATCCTATCATCATTATATAAGCCGGTGTCAATCTTAAAAGAAATATCAACATTTAGAAACTATAGAGAAAGCTATTATTATTTGGCTCATTGTTAAATTGAATTTATAAATATATATTTTCTGTTATTTGATACTGTCATGCGTCGTCTTTGTTTATGTTCGCGTAAATTTAAGATAATGTTAGAAACGTACCGGATATATCTCTTCATTATTCTGACAAAGAATTCGTTTAGTTTCTCTTTGTAATTAATTGGATTAATTTGTTCCTTATCTATTTTATTCTTTAAATACGTGTAAGCCAATAAAAATCCACTTAAAAAGAAATAAGTATCAACTGATACGAATGCGTTGCTTATCATTTGAAAGGGGATATCTTCGATTACTCTGAATGTCCATATTTTATTGTCTACATATGTGAAACGATTCGTTAAAATGAAAACGACATCAAGAGACGTAAATAATCTCAGTTCTGCAATTTTTGGATCAGTACACTTACCGCAATATTCCAACGTGTAAAATATGCTATGGAATATGATTATCCAAACCATGGACGGAAATTTTATACCGTGAACAACGGCTATTTCTTCGGTGTCCAATTTTGTGTTAAATATTATTTTCGTATTTGTATAAACGGAAAAACACATTAATACGTTCCCGATTCTACTTTTTTCACGTGAAGACGACAAATCTGTCATTGTCATTTCTTCGATCCATTTTCTACATCTAAATCACAATTTAGAATCTGTATTGATTAAAAATTGCGAATAATGTTTGCCGGCAAGACAAGAAAGTTATTAACAAGCAAATAATTGGAAAAAACGATATTGCATTATAAGAATAAATAATATTATACAAGAGAAAAAATATCTTTTTGCATTTTGGAATTTTTTAAAATAATGATTCCAATTTAAACGGTTTTAATGTGTAAAACGTGATTTTCTTTTGAAATACCAGGAATATAATAAAATCAGTTCATTATGAATAGTCTATTACTGAAGAAGCTTCAAAACTTTTACAATTAGTTAGACATATACTTACTAACAGTTTCAGTCTTTAAATATATTTGATATATAAATATATCGTATATTGTACCGCTTATCATCATGACAAAGGTAAGCACTAAAGCAAAACTAAAATTCTAAAATTAATAGAGTAACGGGTACGTGGGTAATATGTCAGTTGAGGGAATATGCCACTCGCGTTATGTTAAACAATGGTATCGATTAATAGCGCTTGCGTTAGTACTACAAAATTATTTACAATTGTATGCTTAATGTGTTGCATAAGTATCATAAATTTCCTGGTAACAGTATTGTTTTTATGAGATAAATATGATGGCATGGTATACGAAAATGTGTTTTCTTATAATATATGCTTTTATAATGCTTTATGTTAATTAATATTTAAACATTACATAATATTTGACTCGATTAGCTTGTTAATCTATTAATGTAGGTTAAAATAAAAATATTCAGTACATTATTGATTCATTTTCTTAATGGCCATATTGTACAGGCTCATATATCGTAAGATGAAATGGCGTCTTCGGGCAATATGCCACTACTTTTATTAGAGTAAAATGCCAATAGTCATTTTCTCTAATAATATATATAGTTGGTTAAGGTGCTATAAACAAACACTTTGCCGCATAATTCTGTTGTGACAGGATATTTGTATTGACCAATACTTAATGAATAAACATAAATGTTTATTTATTTGCTTATTATTGTATTATATTACAATAATTTACTGCTCAATTCAAAATTCTGAATAGAGAATACAGTTTTTAAATCCATTTTAATGGATTAAATTTTCTTGATTTTCTTGATTTTCTTGATTCTGGAAGTTAGACTACTTGTAACTAGTAAATATAACACTTGTAAATATAAAATAAAACAAATATTTATTTGTATGTCATACTTACACATTACATACTTTTACTTTCAAAAATGATTTAAAATGTAATAATATCTAAATAATTAAATGGATTATATCTAATTAAATTGGATAATATCTAATTGTTGCAGTAGATTTACAAGAACTGTTCGTAGAAAGATAGAAGATTTATGTTGTTAAAAACGTGTCTCAAAGTTTATTTTATATGTTGTATAACTTAATCTATCGAAGTTATCCTTGTATTGGTTATATTATCTATATTATGTTACAAATATTTATTTTCATCATAAAAATCATTAATAATATGTTCTTCCAATATAAAAGAAAACAAAATAAATATTGTATTTGGCATTTTTTTGTATGTGGCATATTACTCGCATGGTGGCATATTACTCATTTTTTCAGCACTTTCATAATAATAAAAAATGAAATTAATAAATGAAATGAATTTAATAATAAAAAATGAAAATATTTGATTCCAAACATATTCAAATAATAGATAAAAAATGGAAGAAAAAAATCAATATGTAAAATTATTTTAGATTTTTAAATTGAACAAATAATTACTCAAAAATCTCATTTTGTTTAAGTGTGGCATATTCATCTCACATGCCCTATATAGTGAAACCTCTATAAAAGTAACTTGTCGATACCGACCAAAAGTAAACAAAAGCGCATGCGCGAGCATATGTGCTCGGGTACTATATGAGAAATTAAGACATGACTTTTACGGAGGTTAAAACAAAAACGGAGGTTAACTTTACGGAGGTTTGACTGCAAATATTTCTTCCATTGCTTTCTCATATTCTCGGAAGAGATATGAAAATTTAACGTATATTATTATTTTATTTGTATAATTAATTTTTTATTGTTTTTATATTTTTCGACATACCATATAAAAGGTATCGCACCACTTAACAGCCATTGGTGATCATCCTTTAAGTTTTTTACCTGGATCAGATTGAGGTCCACGGAATAGAGATCATTAATTAAAAGAACTCTATCTCGAAATATTCTTTTTAGAATGAAACTTATATTGTTCGTGGAACAAGATGCGGGCAAACAGAGACCGAGCGTAATCAGATCCTAAAATATATATATAATTTTTTATGTATAAGGTATATAAAAAGTACCGAAACTCCCGAATATTTTGAAAATATAAGTTTTATAAATTTTATAAAAAAAAATATTTCAGACAAAAGTTGTAAAGTTTAAAAAGATTTACATCAAAAATAAAAATAAAAGTAACTTTCAAAGGCTACGGTCTTGGCAAATGTTATCAAGGTCATAACGCTGAACAACATTTTAAAAGTTTTACATCAGTTTTAGACATCTAGATAATAGGTACTAATGCTAACAGTATAGTAACTTTCAAGTCACAGAACTCAACTCAAAATATATTCCAAGAAAAAATGTTTTAATTGTTATAGTGTTTTGAAGAGCTTTCGAGATAAGCTAAGAATATGCAACAGAAAATGAGGGTTTCCATTTTAAAAAATTGATGTGATTTTGATCTGATTTTGATAACGCCACCCAAGGCCAAATAAGATCATTGAAGACCTTTTTAACTCCTACAACTTTTATTGAAACATTTTTTTTATATAACTTATATTTTTTGAAATATCTAGGGTTCCGGTACTTACTTTTTATTTGTTTGTTAATATTTTTACATGTTTTTTATAATCACATTTTACATTAAAAAATTTCAATATTTATCCATTAACGAGATCACACATAAATATATATATATCAAATGAGCTGTAAATCAATTATAGTGTAATGGCCTTGTATAATAAGCTATTAATCATAAATCAACAGTTAGAAGTTCAAAATTGACGACTGTGACTCGTCAATTTTGAGCTTCTGATTTAGACCCATAACTTTTGTCTATTTTTATGATTTATGATATATTGACATTTTGACGATTTATGATTATATGCTGCATGACCTAAAAATTAAATTTAACATGTTTAAGCCCGTTTGCAATAAATAGCGACAAAATTACTTTAATTTGTTCACATTAATTTTAAAGTGCACTGAAAAAAAATGTACTAAATTTTAATAAATATCTGTTTGAACAGTACTAATTATTTACTAAATAATAAATGTATATTTTTTTAAAACACGAATCATTAATTTGATTTATTATTTTTTTATTTAGTATATTTATTTAAATATTTATTTATCATAAATAAAAGTCAAGTTAGTACTATTCAAATAAATAATTAATAAAATTTATTACTTTAATATTTTTTCCCATGTAAGTAAGATTTATTTAGATCGTAATATAAAAAGATACATAAAATGTGATTTAGGATTGTCTGATATATATTGTTAAAAAATTGGGCTTTGAATAAAAATTTAAAATCTATTATATAATAAAAAATCCTTTATTAAAAACGTATACTTTAGATAATCTAGATAAGCTCAAGAAGAAAGAACTTACTTCAGTTAACATATTGATGTGATACTGAAGAGTACTGTTGTGTCTGATATAAGCAACGAAGTAATTCAATTGGAAAGGTGGAAACTCATCCTGCGGATCGCGGTATCGCGTGTTATTTAATACAAGTATGTATCGTTTTGCCAACTCGAAAGGAGCCTTGTTCATTACATCGAGGCATTGACTACGACTGCCTAGCCAAAAATCATTTCCATAAAGGAAACCTGATTTGAGTTCGCCATTAGAATCCAATGCTTGAAGACAAAAATGCACAATTGTTATTATAATTATGTAACATTCTAGTATATAGTGTTTCTTATTCATTGCTACTTAATCAGTGAGACTTTTATTAATTGCTAAAAGCAGGATCACTATTAATTACAAAAGACAAGTCTTATAGCTTATTCGGCCCGAACGGATGTGCACTAACCTGGATTAGATTAATGATGTTGTATGCTTTCCTAATGTGTAACGTCAATCAATAGGAGAACATTATCCAACTCAAATCGTTACAAACTCGCTTGGTTCGAAAATGCTATTAGATATCTCGCATTATTTAGATGTTAAATTTTATTTAACATTAATTTAACATTGTTGCGATTTAATTCAATATAATTTTAATGATTATCAAAACATAATTATATAATTTGAAGATTATTTTGTGCATTATTATTATGCGCTTTACACAAATAAAATTTGGAGAAATATTATAAAAAATAATAATTAGATTTTGTAATGACAAGTATGAAATATTTTTGTGACTAAAGTAATCCTACGAAAAATAATTTTTAATTGTTCCGTTTCGTAACTTATTATTAACTTTCACGCAGATCGCTTCTTAAACGATAGTGTTTCAAAAAAATATTCAAAACTTGATGTATATATACATACATATATTTAAAGTAATATTATTTAACATAAACGGTCTTGTTTCCAATCTTATTGCATATATATATATATATATATATATATATATATGTCGTGTTGAACTCGACGAAATTCGAAGTCTTGTAATAGCAAAGTGATGGAAACATGTTAGCATGAATATCTTCGATGACCATTCAAAAATGTGTAACATTTCATATTGTCAGCATTTTGTTAGCAACGAGTTGCAATTATAAAACTTTGTAGCTTGAAGACATATTTGCAACTATCGATGGAAATCATTATATATCTTTGCTGTATCATGTTTTCATCATGATGCTCAAGATTTTTCGAATTATTCGTTGCTAACATATTGCTGTCATGTTGCAGACAATATAATGTATCATCATTGCTCTAGAAATTTCGACATCTGATATAAGCAGTAACGTTGTTGTATTTCGTAATGTGTCTTATTTTAATGTCAACAAATGTACAGCAAATATCCCTTATGGAAATGAACTATTGAAAAGCTAATAATTACTATTGGCTTACAATAATGCTTATTCATTTTCTAATAGTGATGATGTAGCATCTAATAATAAAGAGTATTTGCAATAATCATTCTCCAATAGTTTCTGAATGAGTAATTATTGATTTCATAATCAGATTATTTGCAATAATCATTCCCCAATAATTCTTTTATGAAATGATTATTGATTTCATCAGATTATTTACAATAATCACTGCTCAATAGTTTTCAACTGTAGTGATTATTGATGCCAAATTAGATTTTAGTTGCAATAATCATTCCCCAACAGTTCTTCTATTGAATGATTATTGATTCCATTAATGAGATTATTTGCAATAATCGCTATAGCACACTACTTTTAATAGTTATATAAATGATTATTAGCTTTCAATAATTGACTATTGAATAAATGTTGAGCTTTTTGACAATATCTATTATCTATGACCAGATATGTCACAATTATACATCTATAAACATTCGGGATTCGGGGATCATTAAGGGGAAGCAGTTTTCAATTGCAAAGGTCAAGCAACACTAGAGAAGATACAGCTTTGGATGGGTGACGGCTAGAAAGCACGTGAAATTAGATTCCGATTTTAGGAGGAAACCTTTTTTTTTTTGTTATAATTTTTCTCATACATTTTGAAATATGATGCTAAACACCAACATTTATTTTAGCGGTAATACTGAATTAATTAATTTTTTCAATAATAATCCGAATAATTCTCCCAATGATCTAATAGTAGCTCTTCTCAATGGTTCGCGAAGAAACTACGACTGAATAATCAAATAGTTTCATTAATAGTCCATTTCCGCAAGGCATATAACAACATATTCAATGTATAATATATGTACGCTATATATATGTACGCTTGACTATCTGAACTCTGCAATATTGGGTTAACTCACATTTGGTGAAAGCAGAGAAAATTAATAAGATACTGTCAGAGAATATATTGGATGATAGCATATTCCAATATATTCCACTTATTATCATACAGTAATTACTATTGCAACAAGCTCTTCAAAAACAAAAGATATCCAAAATCAATACATAACACGTTCGTAATAGTCCAAACTTATGTTTTGGATATTCTATGGACATCCATAAGACATTCGATGGACATAATTTTCCTGATAGATAGCTGACATCAAAATGACGTCATTTGACGTCAAAATGACGACAAAATGATGCAGTTTGCTACCTATGTTGGACTTCCTATGGACATCGCAATGTTCAGAATTAGAAATCCAGTAGACGTCCATATGCTATTTGGGTATATAATTACTGACAATCCTCTGATTTATTTATTTTATAAACAAAGATAAAATTAAGATCGATTCAGTTTCGGAGTTTAGTTAATTCTCTAATGGTACAATAAAATAACTCAACATGAAGTAAATGCAAGATTGTTCATGTGATTAACTTTCTTGATTTTGCATTTTACTTTATCGATCCGGTAAATATCAAAAATTAATCATGATTAAGAACGAATTTTACTTACTTCTTAAACCCCACAGTATCCGTTGATCGACAGCGTCTAGGAAATCTCGTAATTCCGTTGCACATGTTGCCGAATCGAGAAGACTAGCTCTCGAGGCGATGGCGTAGGCGGGTAATAAATGAATAATATTGTTCTCTTAGAACCGCGAAATTGTGCAGAAACGCAGAGTAACGTGGCGAAATGGCAGATATACGAAATAAACGTGACATAATGCATATTTTGAATCCAAAAATTACAATCACTTTTACTTCTAAACTGTGATCTATATTGACCATGAAGTGATCAATTTCAGAAGTACAATAGAATGAAGTGTAAAGAATTTTTTGCTCATGTAAAGAATTTCATTAATGCACAGATCTAGAATTATTTTCTTCGCTGAGAGAAAGAAAATATGTTTATCCCGATGAATAATATATTAAAAATGCGTTGTTATTAACTTCGTCTGTGCAAACGTTAGTGTAATGTTTTAGAGTTTTGTGAGAGAATATTCCATTTGATTTGTATAATACAGATTAATATTGGTCAGCAAGATTCGACGACCGGGATAAGACTGGTTTATATAGGAAGCAGTTAGCGGATTTATAGTGGAAAACGAAATGTCCTCGATCCCGCGACAACTTTTTTTTCGACAGAGTCACGTGCCACTACATTACGTGCATCACTGCATCATTTGAATATGTCTACATTTTGAATATAGCAATCTAATAAAAAACATTTTTTTTAATGAAAAACCAATAAAATATTTTATAAATTTTTGTACTATAGTTTTATAATTTTTTTATGATTGTATTAGGTGTTTAAGAATTAATTCGTAGCGTTTTTTAATGAAAGAATGTTATTTATTTCACATGAGCATTAAAAAATACATTAATGAAAGTACTTCCCATCACTTGTAAAACGCTACGAATTAATTCCAACACCTAATAATAAGCCAATCACAGATTATACTTAAGCCAATCTTAAATGTAATAACTGATTATTATTTTTATAATAAAATATTTATTATATTCAAAATGATTTTGATATCAAAAATGAAACAAAGGAAAAATATTTTTCGTAATTCAGAGATTTAAAAAGATTCATTTTTTAGATTTGCTATGCTTTCAGTATAAGGGCGGAATCCCGCCCTAGATAGATGTTGCTTAAAATCTGTTTTAAAGTAATCTTTATCAAGATGACAGATGTATTGATAGTGTATAAAAAATAAAAAATTTGAAAGTGATTTGATAACATAAAAGACATCAGTTGAGAAAATTAACAGTGGCTCAGCAGAAAAAGCAATTTTACAATTGTTATAAAATTCTGTAATATGATAGATTTTATTCTTTAGTTTTTCACTGGAATTAAATGTGTTTTCATTCATTATATAACTAAGATAGACAGAAGCAACGCCCATAAGAGCGCGTTACTTTATTCTATCTTAGTTATATCACAAACAAACAAAAAAGATAAAATGTTGTTTACAGCGTGAGCGGCCAAAGCGGATGTATCTACGATTATTATATATTCCATAGGTAGGCTGGGATTGATAGTTGCAACATATACGGGTACTAAGGTTTCTGACTTGGAAGATCTAAGCCGTCCAAAGTATCGAAATTTCAATCAGTGCAATTAAGTGCAATATAGTCTTTTTCTTGCAAAGAATTCGAGATTTCAAGAACAGCTAGCTAATTCGTCAAAGTAAGTCGTAAGAAATGATATTTTGTGTACATATTAGGCCTTTCTTCTCTTCAGAAGGAAAGAAGAGGAAGAAAGATAAATGGATAAAAATAATGTCAGTTTTTCTGTTTTAAACTTTGATGCTTTATTTTATTAAATATATAATAACTTAGGTTATATTTGTGTCCATATTAATAAATATCATTTTAAATCGCAGATTCCGCTCTACTTATTTATGTTTTTAGTAACGATTTTTATTTCGATTTAATAAAGTATGCTACAAGCTGAAATATTATTTAAAGCTGAAGATTAAAAACCGACATTATTTTTGCATCAACCTAATAGATTAAGAATATAGTTACTATAGGTATAATTATATTTATATAAGAAAATATTTATATACGCGCTGCCATGATTGATGCGTACGTTCTATATACAGGGTATCCCATAATAATTAATTAATATTTCAGGGAATGAACGAGGATGAAATTTTGAACTAAAAGTTCCTTTGCCAATTTTGGCTCAAACTTGATTTATTGATTGATTTATTTATTTATTTATTTATCTGTTAATATGAAAAATTAGAATAATTTTTAATTGATTAGAATAAATTTTAATTGAGATAATGCATAACAAGCGTGAGGAGTTCCATGGCATATGGCGTGCTACCTAATTGCGATCAATTTTAATCGTTAATAACTCGATAGGTTTGAGTTAACCAAAATTAGCAAAGGAACTTTTAGTTCAAAATTTCATCCTCTTTCACCTAAAATATTAATTAATTGTCATGGAACACCCTGTATACATATTGATTAATGCGAAGAATATTACTCAATCGTCAGTAGTTAAGATTAAATATACCCGACTAAAGATCGAGAAATCTGGGTTGAATCCTGAAAGTAATACTTGTCGCAATAAGTTTTTTACATTTTATACATAAGATGTTAGTAGCAAATTAACAATCAAAAATTAATTTGTGAGATTATCATTATTTCAAACGTTACGAAATAAAATATATGTTATGTGAAATATATAAAAGAGTAGAAATATATTTATCCCAACATCTAACTTTGATCGCTTATAAGAGCTTCTTGTACTTAAATGAGAAAATATATGATAATGTATAGGAAAATGTATATTTTGTATTGCATCATTGCATTATCCTATTTTATTTTACCTGCGTATAATATTATTATACTATTTTATTTGCAAAAATATTTCCAAAAACGTTGGGTAATTTATTATAGAATAATATTATCGCTAATAATTGTATTAAAATATTTATATAAATATTTATATAAATTTCTTCAAAATGTTCATTCTTGTATATGTTGTTTTATATGACAATAACAGTTTACATGAGTATATATTGTGCTTCACTGGAAAATAAAATTATAATAAAACTTTCCAGCTAACCAAAATTGATAATAAGTTACCGAAGAATTTCTATATAGATAGGATAGTTAATGTTCCCACTTCTGTTAACTTATTAGGTATTGATAACTATAAGATATCTTTTAATCAATGTCCATAACTTAACAAAGAAGTGGAACATTAATCGTATAGAAATTGACTATTCGATAATTTGTCAATTTTATTAGGTGTTGGAATTAATTCGTAGCGTTTTACAAGTGATGGGAAGTACTTTCATTAATGTATTTTTTAATGCTCATGTGAAATAAATAACATTCTTTCATTAAAAAACGCTACGAATTAATTCCAACACCTAATAGTTAACTGGATTAATAATAGTCGATTATTTTCGAGACAATAATCGACTATTAGTAGACTATTAGTTGCTATTCAGATTTGATTAAAAAGTCGACTCTTGACTTCTCCAGTCTACTTACAATCGACTTTCAGTCGATTTTTAATCGACTATTTTTGAAACATTCGTCAAGTATTAATCGACTATAACTCAAGTATTAGTTGACTATTCGTCGACATTCGGGCTGACTTTGAAATCGACTCTTGACTTCTCCAGTTTATAGTCGACTTTTACTCGACTTCGTGTTGTTCGGGTTGTGCGAAAAACAATTTGTGTATGTAGCTGTATGTTCTTTATTATGCAAATTCTTTCGACAGTTTTTAGACTGTTTTTCTGAGTAATTTTTAGGCTATATCAGTTCTTTGGCATAAATTCGCTGCATCAATAAACATTCGGCGCTGCAACCGAGCACAGCACGCGACACAGGAGGCCCGTATCAGTCACTGGCTGAACAAAAATCAAAAAGACAACATCTTTTCCAGGAGGATTCCCTGTGTGGTTCCGGAATAGGTGATTACATAATGTAAGTCGCAAAAAAAAAACCCTTTAATTATAGTGTAAACTTATTCCGAAATTTAAATGCGTTTTTCTCGAAATCACGTTTTTAAAATCTGTACCATAAATATCTCGAGAACTACTCAATCGATTCCCTCTCTTTTTTTTTGTCTGAAAGGTTATAAAATTTTCTAGTATTTGATCTATGATTATTTTGATATCTTAATTTTTTATATTTTTTTAGATACTTAAAAAATGAAATTTATACGTGAAAAAAAATGATATCTTGAATTTGAATATCCACCATTTTGTTTTAAATTTGAAATTTAAAAAAAGCATGGGTCAAATACGAGTAAATTTAATAAACTTCAAAATGCAATTTTAAATTTTTATTTCAGATGAGCAGTCAAGGACTAATTCATATGGTATCGCAATTTAAGTTCCGTTCGAGCACGGCCAATTTCGAGGAATTGAAGGGGAATAAAGGGGGGGGGGGGATATTTTACTTCAATAAAATTTGATTTATAAGTCTAAAGTATGTTCTTTAATAAAAAAAAAACCAACTCGTATTATGTCTTTTCTTTCTTGGGGGAAAAAAAAAATAAACATGAACTATTTTTGAAGCCGAAAAAGATATGTGCCTCTTTAATAATTTTTAAGCATTAAAAAAATGATATTTAAATATATGTTTAATTGATACTCTTAAACACCGTTTAAATTTATTATGTCATAATAAATTTAAATATTATTTAAGTATCAATCAAGTATATATTTAAATATCATTTTTGTAGTATTAGAAATAGCTGAAATCTTTTTGGTAATATTTCAAAAAGACTGCAGATTCTTTCTGTAACATTTCATGAACCTTTCAACAAGTTTCATGCAAGACATTTTTCTATTTCAGAGCTGTTTCAGAAATGTTGCAGACATATACAGTAGAACCTCAATCATCCGAACCTCGATTTTCCAATATTTCGCTTACGTACTTCATTTATTCGATATCGATTATTCCGATACGCGCACAACTTTGAATGGTTATGCATTTAATTATGTCCCCGTTGACATATGTCACGTATGTGTCACGCATATTATACCTACATAATCTAAAAAGCAAGTTGAAGGGATTTAATCCTCGCCATCCAGCTAGGCTTAGCAGAAACCCCAGGATATAAATGTAATTTGACTGTTTATGTCTATATTTATATGTGTATATATTACGGGTGATGTCAATGTACAATACATGTTTGTTCCACAGACAGCTAATTAGACACGAGCAATGTCCGAAAAACACAATAAAGTTTGTGTTTCAATTGAAACGAAACTTAAAGCTCTTTGACGTATTGATTTTTCTGACAAATTCTTTTTTTATAAAAAAAAAACGCTTCGAATAAGCCTAAAAATCCCGCACTAATCCTACATGAAATTGGGTCTCGGTGAAATCAAATGGTTTTCTCATATATTATAGCTAATGGTCTCCTAAACAAAACATATAAGATCTAGTGCAAAAAAATGAACAGTTTTCGTGTTCGATCCACCTACAATCACTGACTCTCATCATAAAATATTCAATAACTTCTAAATGGTCGACCTAAAATAGACAAAATGAATAGTGTTTTAAAAAGGTCTCAACAAAGACTATAAGAAAATGAAAGAAAAAGTGGGGGTCTTACTTAAAAAATTCAAGTTGACTTGACCCTACCTTAGCGACGTCACTCAAAGTCAAAATGATAAAGTCAGTGATTAGGTCTTTTAAACTCTACAACTTTTATCTAAAACATCTTTTTTATAAAACTTATAGTTTTTCAGATATTTTGCCGTCTCAGAACATTTTATGTTCCTCATATGATTATATATGATGCCACATATAATTATATCTTACATATAATTACATATTATCATATATAATGTTCAAAATATGTACACAGATATCGGTATGAAAAGAAAGAAATTGAGATAAATAGCATCTGATAGCCTATTTGGGAGAATTATCCAATAAGGTAATTATACTCTTATATTGTCATACAGAATTGTCTTACATTGTATACAGAAAAATTAATTTTATCTCTCGATTCATTGACCACATAAATTATAAGAAATTGATGATTAATTCGATAAGAAATCTAAATCTTTCGTGATTACGGTACTAAGATATTCTTTTATAATTACTCGATATAGTAAATATAAGCCATAATTATAACTCACAGCATGATTTTACTTTGCTTAGAATATATGTAATATCATTATATAATACAACCATGTGCAAAAGTATTAGGCACTTACAATTTTCTCGGATTTTATGAAATGTTAAGTATTTCGGTGAAAAGTAATCTTAGAAAGATTTTCAACACATTTTAAAGTGTAAGTAGGGCCTTAAATGTGCGTTCGAATTTTTTGTCTACAATATTTTATTCCTAAGTTACACAAAATTGAAGAATTATATCTTTGCAATATTTTTGTCTTACTTTAAAGCGCTACAGTTTGCAATGAAACATCAGTAAACAAAATTTAATATGAAAGTGACTGAAAGTAAACTTCCAAAGATTTAAAATGCCTTCTGAAAAAAATTTATACGATAATTTTTCGCAAAAATATCGGTTTTTTTTATTATATGAAATCTTATTGTGTACAGAGTGTTTCCATAATCTACACATCAGTAACTCGGGTTGCCTATTTGCCTATTGGCAGGGATACGCTCTACTGATAATGCAGAATGAGATTAGATCGCAAGAAAGTCCAGCGAAGTGTGAGACAAGAGAAATTGAATTTTATTCTGGTATAGTGTAAAATTCAGTAA